ACGGGCCGGCCCGCGAGCCACACGGGCCGGCCCAGCTCGGGCCGACTCCTCAACATGAGGCTCGGCCCGAGCCTTGGCTCGGTTCCATCGAGCCCGAGCCGGGCCCGGCTCGGGCTTTTTCCAAGCTGTCCGAGCCGCCAAACTTTTTTGCCATCCCTAGTGCAAGATAGTGTGGGTATGTGGAGGGGGTATGTGGAAGAGCTCTTTGAGACCGTGTTTAGGTTAGGGGTGGACTAATTAGAATATAACGTCTCCACATTTTATTGTTCTTATGGAAAAAGTCATTACTTTTTATATTTTAGTATTTTCACCCATATTTTCACATTTTATTGCGCAGTATTTTTATCAATTCTCTCAATTAAAAATTGTGAAATGACAAAAAGACACTTCCTTTTAAATAAAACAAAAGAAAAAAACTAATTGCAAATATAATCCCAACATTTTTTAAAAGCGTAAATGAGTCCCAAATAAATTATTAAAATGATAATTAGCACACATAATATCCACACATTTCACTATTATTGCAAAAAAAGTCCATATCTTTTTTTTTTTTTTGACATTTTCTCCCTTAATTATACATTTGATAGCGCAAATCATCATTTCTATCCATTTTCATCCAATTTCTCAATAAAAATAGTGAAATGGCGAATATACCCTCCTATTTATATAAAAAAAATTAATTGCAACTATAGTCTCAATCTTTTTATAAAAAGTGCAAAAGGGACTCAATTAAATTTATTTTAAAATTTTTTAAAAAAAATGTGCAAACGAGTCCCAAATAAATTATTAAAGAATTATAAATTTAAAAAAATTATTTAAAAACGAGGATATATTCATTATTTCATTTTTTTTTATTGAGAAATTAGATGAAAAATGATGGTTTGTACAATCAAATATGTAATTAAGTGTGAAATGTCATAAAAAAATGAAAGGATTGACGTTTTTCGCAATAAAGGTGAAAGATAAGGAACCTCGAATTACTTGCTTAATCTGGTATATGGGTCGGGAACGGGTTACGGGTACCCTGCCCCGTTTAAATTTTCAATTTTTTTTTTTTTTTAGAATTCAATATTTTAAATGTGAAATTTCACCAAATTTCATTAGTTTTAATAAAAAATGGCAACTGAGGTTATTTTAAAAAAATATGACAAAACAATAAAAGTCTTATTTACCAAATAATTTGAATAATTTAACTTTTAAAAATAAATAAATAAACTAAAAAATATATTATTGTCTCGCTTAAAGGAATGATGGCAATAAAAATAAATTATGAGCTTGATTGGTGGGGGTTTTTTGGGGAATAATTGATTTTGAATAGTGATATGATGGGAAATGTATGGTTGAAAAAGAAAAAAAAAATTATTGATGTGATGGAAAATATTATTTTATTGAAGAATGTGTGGTTGAAAATGAGAATTGATTTACTGTAGAAAAATCTAATTCCCTCCCAAACAGGGCCTAAAACTACACAAATATTTTAGGATAATTCTTGTTATACACTTTTGTGTTTAATCGTGGGCCCCACTCCCATATGAGGGGAGTGTCAAACTAGATGTACACAAAAGTGTACATCTAGCATTACTCAATATTTCAGCCCTCTTTTTGTGTACATCTAGCATTATTCAATATTTCAGCCCTCTTTACAGAATGATAAAATTTACATCCGTTCAAAAATTATCAAAAC